GGAGCTAAATCTTTCTTCTACAATACTGACTAAATTGGTAGAAAGAGGTTAAATACAGAGTAAAAACAAAGTGAAAAGTAGTTTAATAAAAATAAACATCGGCAAACTAGTGCAGTTTTGACGATAAAAACTTGTTATACATCATGTGTTCCAGACCGTCTAGACCAGAGGAGTACGACATTATATATAAGATTCTGTAAAGCCACCTCTGTCGGTGCACATGCACTACCCATGTCACTAATGGTCGTTCCAATTGCCAAAGAAGGGATGATATTGATGAGTGAAAAACATTTGTAGAGGATGACGTTTCGAAAGGTCAGAATGTCAAATCAAATCAATAACTTGGTAGGCATTTTGATGTTAAATCCTTCAGGCCTCTTCCAGGCCTGAAAGATAATCAGGGACGTTCATAATCACTGTTTCTCTTCGCCCCGCTCGCGGCATTAAGGATTATTCTTTCAAATTAAGTGATCGAAACTTTGTTAGGTTTAACTGGCGGAATGTGACTGTTATTAGAATATAATGAAAGGGGCGTGTCGTGTGTAGTACACGTGACTAATGTAGAGCCACGAAACATTCGGGAAGGCTGTGAGTAATGCAGGAAGGCGAGGTTGTGAAAAAGAATCGTAATGTGTAACTTGTGTACGTTTTTTTGTTTTAGTTTAATTAAACTTTATCGCATTTAATACAATCAATAATAAACTTATAAAGTTATTGTACGACCTATCGTTAGACTTTTTTTAATAACCTTGACAAGATTTTAATATATTGTTGTACAAAATGTTTACTAAAGTATATTTATATTCGACTTTTGTTCAAATCCGAAGGAAAGGAAATTTACGCGCATGCGCATTTAGATAATAAGGTGCGCGTGTTTTCAGGACAGACAAAAACTGAGTATTAGAGTTATAGATTATTGTCAGGTGTTTCCTGTTATGTTAAACTTATATTAAAGTTTTTCTTCATTACCCATTCAAGCCGTCTCCAACCAATATAAGTTTTTTATTTATTTGTGCCTCATGGGTTCTAGTTCTTTGCGCCATCTAGGTTACTCTTAAGGAATTAATTTTAGCTTCAACCAGAGCAAGCTTCTACTTGGATCAGAACTAAAAAAACAACCCAATAATGATTACAACTAATGCAATATATTTAAAATCATTAGAATGTCTTGATCCACGAATTGGGTTTCATCGCTGTTATCAATATCTCCAGCCGAAATCCCAGAAACATCTCACGAGATTTGGGTTAGTCCTAAATATGTATTTTAAAATAAAATTACAAATAATAAAATAGATATACTGAAATTATGACCAATACTGTTAATGAAAACAAGATTAAAGTAAGAATAGTCTAAACTACTCATTAGTAAATAAGAAATTTAACATTAATTAAACAAAGGAGGGTTTCATGTCATATTTACAAACTTTTTGTTTGTTTGTAGTTAAACACAGAGCTACACAATGGGTTGTCTGTACTGTGCCAAAAACAGGTATCGAAACCTAGTTTTTAGAGTTATAAGCTGCCAAACTTACCGCTGAGCCACTTGGAGGTGGGGGCACGGATTTTCGTACAACTAAAACTAAAATACTGTTGCTCTACACACACACACACATACACACACCCCAGTGGCTGAAGCAGTAAGTCTGAGGATTTATAACGCTAAAAATCGCTTATTGCACATCTTAGAGCTTAAAAACAAACGAATAAGAGCTTTACACGGCTTAAATGTCTGGCTACTTAACTGTAGACTTTTAAAACACATTTTCCTCAAGTATTTGTGCACCAAAGTCCGTAACTTGATTAGTTACACGATCCCTAATAAACATACGACTCACACAAAAAAATAAAAATTAGGGACAAATACTATCATTATCGATATTGTAATTACTGCTACTAATCATATGTGGGGTCCCGTGTATATTTTACTCATTTCTTTGATCAATTCTTTGCATTGAGTATTATAATAAGTAAAAATCCAAAGCTCCCTCTATTGGCTCAGCGGTAAGATTGCAAACTTATTCGCTAAAAAATATGTTTCGATTCCTGTGGCGAAATTAAAAAAAAAACATTTGCCAACCCTCCACACACGAGGTTTAGCTACTCAATATCTCACTCCCTTCCCCAGTGGCACAGCAGAAAGTCTGCGGGCTTAAAACGCTAAAAACCGGGTTTCGATACCCAGTTGTGTAGCTTTGTGCTTAACTTCAAACAAACAAACAAACAAGCCCAAAACAAAACCACAAGATGGGCTATATGTGCTGTGCCCACCACAGCCCCCCCAAATGGCACAGCTACCCGTCCCACCAAACATGCTCGCCCTTTCAGCCGTGGGGGCTTTATAATGGTACGGTCAATCCCACTATTCGTTGGTAAAAGAGTGGCCCAAGAGTTGGCGGTGGGTGGTGATGACTAGCTGCCTTCCCCTAGTCTTTCACTGCTAAATTAGGGACGGCTAACGCAGATAGCCCTCGTGCAGCTTTGCGGTTTGTTTGTTTTTTAATTATGCGCAAAGCTACACAAGGGCTATCTGTGCTCTGCCCACCACGGGTATCGAAACCTGGTTTCTAGCGTTGTAAGTCCGCAGACATACCGCTGTGCCACTGGGGGGCTGTGGTTTTGTGCTTTTCAACTAAACAAATACTAAAAATTAATTGCTACAATGCAGTATGCAGGAACAAATACTGTATAAAATGAAGTTGGATAAGAGCCAGAATATTTCTATACTTCTCTGTCACTATTATTGTTATTATTAGGACGGGAACTTATCATTATTTCATACGAAAATTAATAAAAAACCTATAGAATAAACCCTATAATTATTCACCATATACTAAACGCTTATGAATTATAAACATTTCGTAAGCACGACTGTGCGAAACGGATAATGAACGTATTTTCCGTGTTGGGTTTTTTCGTGGATAGAAATTTTATTTTGTAGCCTCGTGTTTCACATGAAGGAAATGTAGTTTTCCTGGAAGCTAGTTGATAACTCGATAATTAAAAAAATACAAACGATAAACAGTTCGGGTCTCCATTATAGCTGTTGTTTTGTATATTGGAGTTCATGAAACCACAGATTTACAACACCGGCACGCTAAACAGTAAGTTACGCCCGAACCTAGACTGTTGAAGGCTATAATTTAATTTAGCAATAAACACCTCACCGTATCTTTTAAGAAGTCAACACGTACTTTTTGTGTGTGTGTGTGTATTTAGGACGCACGAATCCATCAAACATGCTCGCTCTTTCAGGAATGGGGCGTTATAATATGACAGTCAATCCCACTATTCGTTGGTAAAAGAGTAGCCCAAGAGTTGGAAGTGGGTGGTGATGACTAGCTGCCTTTCCTCTAGTCTTACACTGCTAAATTAGGAACGGCTAGCGCAGATAGCCCTCGTGTAGTTTTGCGCGAAATTCAAACCAAATCTTATTTTGTACCGAACTTCAAATACGGTCAGTGTTCAATGCTTAGGCCTTTACTTTTCCTTATTTACATTAAAGATATTTATAGGGTATAATTAGTAGACCAATAAAGCTTGCCGAAGACAATAGGTATTACAGAATGTTATGAACCAATTGACTTGATTGAACAGATATTTGAGAAACGACTAATGCAAGGTAATGCAGTTGGATTATCATAACATGGACGGTTTGTTTGTTTGAAGATAAGCACAAAGCTACATTTTGGGTTATGTGTGCTCTGCCCGTCACAGGCATTGAAACCCGGTCTCTAGCTCTGTGAGTCCTCAGATGTACTGCAGTGCCACTGGAGCAAGGGGGGGGGGGGGAGCAGCATGACTGAATACAAAGATCTTGAAATACCTATTGTTAGTAGTAAACCTTACTACATTTTAAAACTTATTTGTAGATATATTGATATTAAGTTAAATTAGGTAATCATCTTAATTAGAC